ACTCGGCAAAGTGACGACCTGAGAACATGCCTGGAAACATGTTTTGCCGAGTGCAAAGGCCATTGCACTCGGCAAAAATCATAGATTTGCCGAGTGCCACGGGCCAGGCACTCGGCAAAGGTCTCCTGTTTGCCGAGTGTCTTGTCGGTGGCACTCGGTACAGTGGCAACCTTTGCCGAGTGTCTGAGTCAACGACGCTCGGTAAATCGGCGACCTTTGTCGAGTGCTTGACTTTGACACTCGGCAAAGCCGCCGTCACGGTGACGCTCGCCGTCACGGCCACTTTTCTTTGCCGAGTTGCGGATTGGCACTCGGTAAAGAGGTCTTTGCGGATAAACTGATTACCGAGCGCCCTTTGCCGAGTGTAACCGAGTGTATATCGGTCTTTGCCGAGTGTCTGAGAAGCCGACTCCGGTAGTGGACGGCTCAAACAATTTGTTTCACAGGACGTCATTAGTGAGATCAGAGCGTTCATGCGACACTACTAGCAAACAAAATGTTTTGGCCTATAGGCTTCCTTTGGAATACAGAAATTTCAATATTTCATAGTAATCATGTACAAATTTCATAGAAATCAGTTTATTTAATTTTTATAGTAAAAACGCTGAGAACAAAAAAAATGCTGTGATCCGGCCAAAGGGGCTTATTTCGCCGTGAGGAAACAAAGTGCCAAGGGCTCTTCTTGCTCAGGAGTCATCTGCTAGCTACCAAGAGGATCGAAACCAATCTGTATAGTATTTACACCCGCACATATATATAACCATATCCTTTATGTCTACTATATTTCAACCGGACGATTAAACTAGTGTTCATTGGTAAGTTTGATGGAGTATGACAAATATATATTCTAACCAAACCAGCTGTGCACGAAGATCCCAACCAGGCGGTTTGTAATCTACAATCTATGGCCAGAATACTTGTCCATAGGAAAGAAGACGAAAGTTTAACGCCGAGTGAGAGTTTCAATTTTTACAATCTGATCAGGCATCAGGCGAAAATTTAGCAATGCAGATGTCAAAAATTAGCAGACGACCATTCTTAGGGGGTGTTTGGGACTGCTCTGCACCATGTTTTTTCAGCCAAATAGGTTTAGCTCCACGCACTCTGCTCGAGGAAAAAATATAGAGTTATGAGAGCACCTAAATGGTTGCTCCACAAACTCCAGGTTTTTTATGAAGCTGCTCGAAGTTTGTGGAGTAGAGTTCGTGGGAGCAGTCCCAAACACATGCTTAGACCCTATTTTGATCCCTATATATATATATATATATATATATATATATATATATATATATATATATATATATATATATATATATATATATATATATATATATATATATATATATAGTATATATAGACAAAATAGAAAACATGATAAAGGAGTTTATAATGCTCACATGCACACCCGCCAAAAGTACACGCGAGGTACACTCTACCACTACAAGAGATACTCAGCCGTCATGCGTTGAGATTGACGCAAACCATCACCGACGTGATCATATACAGATCACATGTGTGCTAGGGCAAAACTAAAACTCCGAAGAACAAGTTATGTTACAAAATACATGCATAACCTACACTCATTTTTACATAACAGGGTGTTTTCGAAGCTGAATAAATGGATGGTGCAATGAAACCAGCTTAGATCTGATCAAACATCGGGTCAGATTTGGTTAAAAAATGATAAGATTAAAAATCTTTAGCAGCCTGGACCTGATTCGAAGCAATGTTGGATTGGATCGGGTTATTTCTCAGGTCTTTACACTTTGGATCGACTTTTTTAGGTTAGGTTGAACCACTAGTCAAAAATCATGACAGAACATGATCCAATGCACTGGTGGGTCAGTAGCTCGAGTGGCCCATGAATAAGTCCAAGTAAAATTGGTGAAATATGTATTTTTTTATTTCATTCTTTGTTTTCAAGTTAGTCAAAACAACTTTTGCTACCTACACCTCGGCACTTCACAATCCAATAATTAATAGCACTTTGGTTTCCTTTAAAAAAGTCACACTTTGTTTTCTTAATAGAACCAAAATTATAACTTGGGAGGTATCAAAGATTAATAGCTTCATTGTCTATTCACACATTGGATAGAGCATAGACAACACACCAACCAGCTCAGCAACAAGGAAGAACGGACTAGTTTACCTTTTTTTTCCTTATCATGTCACAAAACAAAACAAAACAAAACAAAACAAACCATCTATCCCTACACCGTGTCCGTGTCACTGTGCACATTGGTGCTATGTAATGCTTTTTACCATAAAAAGAATAATACAAATTGTTTCTTTAGAAAGAACTGGGTTAAGAAGCAATCTTGTTCGTAGTAATCTCCGATCGAGATTGTAGCCCTCACGAGTCACAAGCTAATTGGGGCCTCCGCCTACTACCGCACTAGCGTACAAGTACAGTCTAATATGCCAACAAAAACGTCCATGTCACCTTGTCTTCGTCTTGTACTTGCTCATTGATGGACGACGACGGATTGGAAGCATCTGCGATCCTAATCGCTTGCATGGTGCCGCGTCTCTCCTTATCGTCAAATCGTAATCGTACGGTCTGATCTGAGTATCTGACGTCGTTCTTTGTGTGTGTGTGTGTGACGAATTGGCATCCATCCGTGCGCACATACGACTGGTATATAACGTCCTAATTTTAATCTCCAATCACAAGTTCATGATCGATATTCCCCTTGTGTATATATATGATTATCCACATATACAAAAGATACTTCTAAAAAAATTGATCTGACGTTACCGCAAGAGGATTAGTCGTGACATCGTGTGACAACCTCTTTTATATCATTGGATGCACATATATAGACGACAGAGGATTAGAAATGTTCATACACGCCAATTATCTACGTGAGCTGTTGTACGTGTCAAAGCTAACATCCAATATATCCAACGTGAGCAATGTACTTCGTATCTTCATCAAGTGCTCAAGCGGTTGTAATCCAAACGATCTTTCTACCTTAACACAAAGATGTGTAAACCTTTAGCGTGTTCGAGAAAAAAAAATAATATCATCATCAAGTGTTGTGAGCCTCAGCTGCAAATGCCAGGTCACGTCGTAGCAACAAATGATCAAGTGGGCCATCCGGTTGCCATAGATAGGTTAAAGGTTATGCCATGCCATCTGACTAGCGCAATGCACACCATTAGATAAGTTTTAGACATGTTGTGTCAATGCAATAGGTCTGCTATGCTAGCCTGGTTAAAGGTCATATAGAACAAAAAAAAATGTCGCCGGAGCTCATCTACTTGCTTGTCAACTTGTCCTTATAAAGCAGAATGCGAGGACGGGAGGTTGGAAAGCGGAGGCAGCCACCAGCCACGACAACTCAAATCGATGGTTGTGACAAGGTAGGGAAGGAGACTGGGAGTGAGCACCTCCTCGAACTACGAGCGTTGGAGAAGGGGAGGTGGTGGTGTCTTGAATCCACGTGGAGCATTGGGAGGGGAGCGAGAAATGGATGGAATGGGAGAAGGGAGGAGAGGGAAGGTAGAGTGAGGTGGGGGTAGAGGGTTTTTCCTGGTTTGTTTTTTCAGACTAGCAGCAAACTAGGGGTCCTATATACAGCTATACTGCTGCAGGTTACCCTCCAATGGACATAATCCATTGGTGTCACATAATCTGCACTATCCTGCGCAACAAAACTGGAGCTAGAAAGATATTTTTTCGGGCATATAAAGATGACATGAACAGAGAGTAAAGTGTTCATATATATCATCTCTGATCCAAATTATAAAGTTGTTTTGTCTTTTCTAGATACATTGTTTTTATTATGTATCTAGATGTCTAGATACATAGCAAAGCTACGTACCTAGAAAAACCAAAACGACTTATATAGAGAGAGAGAGGGATTGTTTGATGCATAGTTGTTGTTTCGCCTGTATATCAGAGTTCAAAATTGTTTGCCAAAGTAAAGAAGACATAAACAACATTTTAATCACTGTACTTGGCCGCGGGATGGCATGTACAGTGTATCTGGGCTTGATATGCAGAGAGTTGCAGATCGATAGCGAGCGAAAGCGCTAACGGAGCATGCATACCAAACAAGACCAAAGAGCAAGGGGATTAAACGAGGATCGAAAGACACGCTTGCTGTCGTTGCGGCCGGTTACACGACCCCTTGTCGCGCCAATTTGTTTCCACTGCTCCTGTCCTGACCTCCCATCGCTCTCCCTCCTTTTTCCACGGCAAGAAGATATACTCCATGCGTTCAGTTCAGTTATCACGAGCATATATCTAATTAAAGAGCGCCGGCGCTTGTTGGGGCATGGAATCAGCTAGCCATTGTCCTACACACTCGTCGGTGCAACATTCAGCGCACACAGCAACATCTGCCGTTATTCCCATCAGTACAACTTCCGTGTTTACAATACAAGTAGGAGATGAGAGATCTTGGGCAGATTCTTTTGCGTGCCAGTACGCAAATGCAGCAATGGCCGTGCGGGTATGAAAATACACAATGCAGGAAGGGGTTGATTGAACACTAGGAAGGCGTCATCGCGTGCGCTCCCTCGGGCCTCGGGCCTCGGCCATCGCCAAATCCCCGGCCCAGTGGCCCCACGCAAAAAACACCCCGCGTGGCCCAGTGGCCTCAACACGCGGACGCTTAAACCCACAGCTCGTTTCCTTGTCATGCGCGGCCCAGTGGCGGTAACGAACAGAAGGCGCGGGTTATCGGGAGCAACCCAGACGCTTCCACAGTTCCACTTCCACCGAGCACCGAGGTCCGGCAGCAGCCACCCATGTGGTGTGGTGGACTGGTGGTGTCCGCTGCGCCGCGCGAGGCCTCTCCGAGTCGCCGACGGCCCGACCCCACGCGCGCCGCGGCCACACGCCAGCCCAGTTCACCTCACCACACACCTTCGCGCGGACAACAATAAAGAAAGACCCTTCGCGTTTCAAACTAACCAGCCGACCGACGCCGGCGCGGCCACGTGCCCACGTCCCCCACCAAAACAAAAAGGAGAGGCCAGAACCCAGAGGCATGGCGGCCACGGGCTCCGCCTGCGTGGCGCTCGCATCCCTCCCCTTCGCCGCCTCCACCTCCGCCTCTACTCGCGTCTCGGCCAGCAGCCACCGCGGTCCACGGCGCTTCAGGGCCGGCACCGTCAGATGTTCCAGCGCGTCGCCTAACGTGTCCCAGGGCGCGCCTGCGCCGGCGCCGCCCAAGCCGCAAATCGAGCTCGAGTTCGTCGGGGCAAGCCTGCCTCTCCCTTGCCCGCCTCCGACGCCGACGACGCGAGTGTAGTAGGTCTAGTCGCTGGACGCCTGATTTTTGGTCTGCACTCTGTGCTGCTCTGTAGCCGAAGCCGGGTGCCGATGGCTCCTTCCCGGTGGACCGGGCGGAGGCGGCCAGCGGCGAAAAGCTCCTCCGTGACATCATGAACGAGAACAAGATCGAGCTCTACGCCGCATACGTGAGCCTCCCCCCTTTCCCTTGTCATGTTGAATTGTGCCGCCGCAGTACCAACGGGTGGCAGTCTGACAGAAAGTGGTCCTGTTGTTTCCCAGGGTAAGGTGATGAACTATACACTGCTATATGTTTTTTTAGGTTGTGGTACAACGGCTGCCCCAGTGGAAGAAATGATTGTGCAGCACCACACTGGTGGATGTACTGATACTCTGATAACATGTGATCGATCATTCAGTTGTATGTGACTAAAATGCATGTACTGTATACTAGACAAGAGAGAATCGCCTCATCATATCGCTTGTTCTCTGATAGTAGTTTCCAAGTTTGGGCTTCGGCCCACAGTATATATATATATATATATAGCTGTAAAATGCACTTGTCAAGATTTTTTTTTTGAAGAAACTTGTCAAGATATTTCACATATGGTATATGGAGATATGGAGACCAGATGCATGTCACTACTAATAACCGCGTGCTTCTGTGATACGTGGTATGGTACTCTGTTACATGATTTTTCCCAGAGGTATTGAACCCCAGTTAATCCATGTTAGCGAATTTTTTACAACAAGAACATGAGTCATGAGGTGTAGACCGAACACACACTTGGCACAGCTGTACTTTCAGTTTCAGGTGCAGGATTGGACCGATGGAGCAGACTAACTACGGGAGGCAGTCTGATAGCAACGTAGCGCGATTGGGAAAACGGAGGAAGGATCAGAAGAGCGAAATAGAAGAACAGATAGGAGAATTGGGGATCGGAGGACAGATTGTATTAGGAGACTTGTTCTGTTCTTTCTTGTTGCTTACGCTCTTCTCTCATCTCGCTTAAATAAAGCCTATTACATGAGGTGGGCAGGTGGCTCACTGCCACTCAGGCCCGGCATACCGGCCACTGGGACGAGCCTGACGAGTGGACCGGCGTGGCTTCTCTTGGCGTGCGTCTGCAGCTTCTTCAGTTGCCGTATCGGCTACAGAGGACTGAATGGCTTTTGGTGCTTCGGCATTCAGAGGGGGCTTCAGGGTTCACACCAGAGCCTGCTTCGGCTATAACAAATCTTTCGTGTCCCCCTTTGTTCGTGACGACTAACGAGGGAAACAGAAACAGTGCAGTGATTCTGAAACAAATAGCCCATGGGCAAAGAGTGCAGGCTGCAATGGGTTTAGCCGTTTGCTACCCGTCAGCAAATCAGCGTTCGAAAATCACCATGTATTCATGCGAAACAATGTGATATGGATTCAGGAATTTGAAAGCGTATGTATATGCATATTACAACCATCCGTTGTAGTCTAGCTGGTTAGGATACTCGGCTCTCACCCGAGAGACCCGGGTTCGAGTCCCGGCAACGGAAAAAAAAATTATGTTTTTCAGGTCAGATTGGATTTTTAATTATTTTTTCTTGTGTACTCCAGGCCATTTGGCAGTGAGACTGCAAAAGTCTTTCGCCACAACCCCTGAAAACTCCTTTTCATCATTTCTTGAACCTGGAAAGAAGCTAACAGCTAACACGCAGGCAGGAATGCCATTATAGCAATAAAATTTCATAAAACTCTATCCTACCAAATTGATGATTCTGCATCAGTCATCCATATAGCCTACAGGCAAGCTGAAAAGTGAAATTAAACTGTAGGACAATTGTTCATCCATAAATAGGCAAAGATACATGTAAAGAGTGTCAGGACTCAGCAGTCTTACATTACAGGTATTCTTGCCTTATGAACATAAACATCCGGAAATAGTTACAACTTACTACACTGATTACTCATACCAACAAATGCAAAAAAAAATAGCAAAATAGGGAACACTACACTTGCTGCCCTTCACCAAAAGGGGGAAGAGCACCTTTGCTTGTTCGGCATACATGAGCTAGATCAGGGTGGCGATCATATTTGCTGATGGATGGTGGCCTACTAGGACGGCTGTATGGCCAGTCACTGGCTGGAAAGCTGCAGCTGACTCAAGCTTCTCCCAGGTAAGCTTACGCTTCGCTTCTAGCGACGCACGTTTTTCTTCTTCCTCCTTGTACTTGGCCAGGCATGATGAGAAGAGATCATCGTCCATCTCAGAAAACATTTTCTTGACATTCATAGTTAGATTCAGGACTGCTTGGTTCCAGTGATTCTGAATATTGTGCTCTAGTGCTGGAACAACAAGAGGCATGATCACTTGGCGGTTTTGTGCAATCAAGCTGATAATGTGATCATTATTCCATACGAAGAGCGCTCTTTCAGCAACCTGAAACCATGCAACTTGTTAAGGCGATGATGACAACAAAACTACCAACAAAGAGGATTTGTTAAGGCAACAACTGTGATTTAAGAAAATAAAAGCGAAAGCAAACCTTAAAGACAGGACAGCCAACTGTGTTTTTATATTTAGATCATTCCAATGCTTAAGGCTGGTCCAAATATCTGATGTTTTCCATATTAAACATCAAATGCTGAAAAATTATTTCAGATGTGACATGATTGCCCACTGTTGTTGGTGTCCACAATTATTTCAGATGTTTATTCATTTGGCATGTTGAAAAATTATGACCTTCAAATGCTAGGTACATTAAGAGACTAAAATAAGCTGGCTGTCAGAGTCAGAGATAAACAGCAAATGCATATGTAATCATGAATCACTCTGATTGAGTTATATCTACTCTTTTTTCCAGACTTACCACCAATAAGATTAGGCTTATAGTACTAAGTGGTAGGAGCAAGGAACATAGAATGAATCTAATTCCATATGGCACTTTGGGTTACTGCAATGCATACTGCAACAAGGAACTGAAACATTTACTAGATTAGATTTATCGGGGCAAGTTACCTGGAAGTGAGAACTGGTGATACAATGAGCAATCCGCCGAAACAATGGTACCATACATTTCTGGAATTCTGCCTGGCTGGTAGACTCCAAGATCTCTTCAATCTCACTGAGAAACATCACTTCCTTCTGACAATTTGTTATTGGCCAATATCTTAACAAACCAATTATCACTGAGCTTGCAAGCTTTGGGTCCTTTTCTATAAACTGTGTCACACAGTAGGTCAACTGCTGAAGATACACACCAACAGATTTCGGTTTGTGTAGAGGAACCAAAACCCTCCAAAGAAAGATCTTGTGTTCTTCTTTCAGAGGCAATGCAAACCCACTAATGACACTGCCAAAGACCTCCAGCAGCTCCGCGATCCCATTGTGCCGATCAGTCTCAAAGACGAACTGGTAGAATATATTGCTCACTGCTTTGCGAATGAAAGGACGGTGTACCATGAACTTCCCATATACCCTGTGCAGAATAGTTTTCAAACAATCCCTTTCTCTTAGATCCTCGGAGTCAAGAAGATTAAGGAGCTTCACAATGAATGAGTGATCAAAGTGCTTCTTCCCTATCTTTGCATCCAAGGATGATGATCCAATAAATTTCAGCAGCAGCTCATAAACAAGCTGCAGATGGCACCAAGCAGGATCGAACATTGGCTCGTCCTCGTCGCCCTCACCACCACCTGATGAGCCAGACCTGCAGTTTGGAGGGAACGCCCGGAACAGGTTGATGGCACACATCCTAGAGCAGGCCGCGATCGCCGCCTCCGAGAAGCGAGCATTGGTCGACTCGACAAACTCTATAAGATCCAGCAATGCCTGCCTCTTGATATCCTTCTCCACTGAACTCTTGTTCGGGTCCGAGAAATCAAAGACGACACAGCACAGGCTCAGCTTGCTCACAAACAGGTTCTGCTTCTCCGAGTTGGGGACGTCCTTGAACGACACCAGCGGCTCAATACCAGCCACAACACTCGAGGGGAAGACGGCGGATGACATGCGCCGGATGGCGGAGGCAGGGCGGCCAGGCGGGATGCTCCCGCAGCTGCTCGTGCGCTGTATCCCGGTGCCATTGCTGCACTGGCCTGAGTCCCCGGAGGCCAACGACTTCCGGGGCAGCTTGCTGAGGAACTGCTTCCACATCTTTCACAAAACCTTGATGGGCCCTCACACCAACACCATGGCAACAGTAAACCTTGCCACTAACACCTCAAGACTAGCACGGAAAATGGAGCAAGAACCAGGATTACTCGCTAAAAGATATCTATAGTCTCCTCCCTAGATTTCTGGCAAAGAAGAGCGCAGCCTGAAAAAATGCAGCTAAATCTGGACAACGGCAAACCAATCCAATCGAAGAAAACCAGGAGCAACCCGAAAACCCACTAGAGTTGAACAGACTCGCCTTGGAACCTTGAGCAGCAAGAAGAAGGGGAGGGGAAATGGCAGCCGCCAATCTGGAGCTAGAGCGAAGATGTCACCCCGGACGGCTGGGTTTCGCTCGGATCTGAGGCTCCTAGCCACGCGCTCGCCGGATCCAGGCGGCGCGCCGCGGCATGTGGGAGGAGCGGAGACGGGAGCTAGCACAGGACGACGGCGGGCATGGGAGGCATTGGGAACCGGATCGAAATCTGCAGCGCCTCGCTTTGTCCGCTTCCCGGGACGGGACGGGACGAGACGAGAGGCGCTGAGGAGTGGAGGAGGGACTAGGGAGGGACCGAGCAGTGAGATAGGAAGGGGAGGGGAGGGGCTGTTTGCTGTTTCTTGAGGAGAATGGTTTGTTTATCACGGGACAAGTACGGACAAAGAAACAAATTAGGGGACTGTCTGCGGTGTACGGCTCAGAGGCCCGTGCTGATGAAGGGAAATCATCATCGCCCCCACCCCAAATCCGGGGGCTTTTTTAAAAGCCAGGATCCTAGCTTTACTTCGAAATTACTGCCGCTTTATCGACGATTAAACCGGCCGTAATTGCGCAGGAACGCAGGGGTGCATGGGCAAACCACAGGCTTTAATCGCCCGGTCCGGCGCGCTCGTCCTGGGTGAGCACGGGCACGGGACCGGCCGTCGATCGGGCGCTTTAATTCGAAAGGAGGAGTGGTCACTGGCGGGGGGATCCCGGCCGTCCGTCGGATGCGGGGACGGAGGGGTCAGATGGGCTGGGCGGCCGCGTCCCGTGACCTCAGCGAGCGGCGCACGGCCGGGCGGTGGGGCACCGGCGGGTGAGTGAGTGACGGCACGGGTACTCGCCGGACCAGCCCCGTACCGTCCGGCCGTGCGGTGCGGCTCCGTCGCTGTCGCACCGCAGGGGGGCTGCCGGCCGGGCTGCAGCGACGAGACCGTGGTTGGCCGCGGGCTCGGCGTCGGGAGAGCGTGGGCGCGCGTCAGCAGACACTCGGTATGTGCGGTGGCCTGTAGCATGGTCCGCCAAGGCCCAGCGGCAGAAGGATGCGCGCCCATCCGTGACGCGTCATCAACACGGTGCGATCCTGCTGGCTCTGACAGCTGGGATATGAGGGTGCAAGCAAAACAACACTGCGTCAGGGATAAACGAGTTATTACTCATGCAAAAACATTCACGAGCGGCAAACCAAGCTACTGTACCGTAAAAAAAACAGTGTCAGCCGAAACACAAGCTCCTCCGGCAATTCTTCAGTTCTGACCGTATTGTCTACGGTCCAGTGCCTCCATCATGCACGCATTCATGCCCAGTACTGCGACAGATGAGCGATTTGAACGCAGATTATTGGCGCGCCGTGGTCCCTGCTCTGGCTGCGTTCTACGGGACGCACAACCTTTAGCGCCTGTTGGGTTCGCAAGCACAACGTGCCATTGTATAGGTTAGCCATGTCACGGTTTATGTGGCAGTTGTTTGGTTCGCTGCCACAACTACGACGTGCCGTATTTTTTTTTAGTATCCTGTCCCACGTGTCATGGACTCATTTTCTTGCTAAACTTTGACCAAAAGTGTGGCTTCAATTTAGCTCAACAAACTTTTAATGGCTGCCACAGTTTGCCGAAGATTTAACGTGCCAAATATGATAAAACCCAAACAACAACTCCACTCAAAAAGCCCTTATAACCTGTTTGAGATAGGGGATATGTGAGAGGTGGAATTGAAAATAATAGCTTGACCTAACTCCGCCTCACTCGGGTGGGTCTTAAAAAAAGGACAAAACATTGTTTTGCCCTCGCACAAAGAAGTTGAAGCATGCTAAGGACTGGGACGCGCGGCCAGCCGGGGATGCACGGGAGACGAGCACGTGGTGCGGCCTGCCGGGCTTTGCCAGGCGCGTGGCGCAGCTGGGGAACAACAAAAAGCAAAACGAGGAAGAAGACACATGGAAGAAGAAGAGATAAGGAGAATTAACTTTTGGTCTTTTCATTTTTTTCCCACTATGAGAATATGTCTTGCCAAAGAGCTCAAGCTCCACCGGTAGAGTTGTTTGTGAAAATAAAGCCCCAAAAAAATAGCTTAAAATAGTGAAGTGAAGGCGTGCCAAATAGAACCTATATTTTCTTTTTTTAGAAAAAAATAGAACCTATTTTTCAATGTATCATCATCGTTATATTTTGATGCATCACCATCGTGAACGGCTAGAATGAGATTTTTTTTAGAAGACCTAGAATGAGAAATAAACAAAGCACGTTTTGTCATTCATCAATTCATGGTTTCATGGTTTAAAACCGCTTTAAATGGATCGGCAAAAAAAATGATGGGTGGAGCGCGAAGTAGTCGCATTGTTGGATCCAAACTGTGCCTACCGAGAAGTCGGCCCGGCCCAGTAAGGTTTTTCTCCTGGACCAGGCCCAATAAGTAGCCCATACCTTTTTCTGCTTAAAAACGGTTCCGACTGGCAAAAACGAAAAAAATATGAACGCCGTTGCCGGGGATCGAACCAGGGTCGCCCGCGGGACAGGCGGAAATACTCACCACTATACTACAACGACTCTGCCGATTACACTGATAGCTACAAGTTATTCAAAAAAACATTTTAACCAAGGAGTTGCTCCCAACAACCATGCTCTCTAAACTACAGTTACTGAGCTCCACCACTTGGATGGATCTGGTGCTACTGCTACGCCGGCTTCCTGCCTGAAGCTCACTGTCAGTGCGTCCTCAATAGCAACATGCAAATAGCTACCTAGATGAGGCTTAGAAATAATAAAAAAAATATATAACACTGCAGTGGAGAGTTACGTGAGTTGTGAGAGAGTTGTTTCTAAAATATCGTACTAGATTAACTATTTAATCTTTCTTATTGATAGCAAATAAAATTATTCTTAAACTAGATATCTGGGAAGCATTCGGGACGCCCTCGGCCCTGAGAGGAGCGGCGGCCGGCCACACACGTGAAAGAAAACGGCCAGCCAAGTCACAGCGATGCGTGGTGGACTGTTGGACAGTGGCCAGGCAGAGGCAGGCCTCGACCTCCCGCAGAGCGCAGAAGGCAGCCGTAGCGTGCCGGCAACACCCAGCTACTCCCTACTCGCAGCCGCAGGCCCGCACAGCGGAGCCCGCGCCGCCGCCGCTGCCGGCAGGCAGGCTGCAGGCAGCCTCTCCTCTCCTCTCCTCTATCGTCGTACTCGTCGAGTTGTCGTACGTGACAGCACGCGGCCGCCCGCCCGCCCCCGCCCACCGCCCGCGTGCCGGCCCATGCCCATGCCCATCGGCTCTGCTCTGCCCCGCCCCCCGCACGCGCGCGCCTGGCGAGGTGTGCCGCGGCAGCAGCCACCAGCCGCCGGACCCCCGTCCCGTCCCGTCGCAAGGCAAGTGCGCGGGCCTGTGACGGCTATGGCATGCTCCTGCGGCTGTGACTGGCCCGCTGTGGGCGCCAGCATCTCGCGGATCACACGTCGTGTCCGCGCTGCCACCCACTATCCACTGACGCCCGCGCTCCAACCATCTATCTCTCTCTCCATTCGTTTTTTTGAGCTCCTCCCGTCCTCCATCTTTTTTATTACTCGTGCACCGCCGTGTACGGCGCCCGGTTTTGGGGCCATGGCCATCCACATCACATCACGGCACCGGATGAACAAATGCGTTTGGTTTTACCCCGACCGTTTCATTCCAAGTGGTACGTACTCTCTTTTACTTGTTGATGATGTACGTACAATTTGTACTAGTAGTATTTTTTCAAAGCAAGGCGCGTACGTATCCGTTCCCTCCTTGAGCAGAGCAGCTCTGCTGCGGGACCAACGGAGTCCAGCTTTCATGGCCGTTGTAACTGCTGCGGCGGTGCAGGGCTGCAGGCGCGGCGGAGTACGTAGCGGAGACGGCAACCAGCCAGCCAACAGTGGGCACGGCCGAGCAGCGTCCCCGTCCCGGCAGCCCGCCCAAGCGCTCCCACGGCCTGCTGCGCATTTGTTGCGGCACCCACCGATCCTTCCCTGTTCCTCCATTAAAAGCCTTGCCCGTGTGTGTAAAACCGTTGACTCTGCTCAGAGCCGCCGCGCGCGCGTCGCCCACGCATGCAAGGTGCAAGCACGCATGGCAGGATCGATCCTTTCTGGGATACACTGCACAGTACGCACTCGGGGCTGAACAGCGCCAACACGGACACAGGCTATCCAGCACTCCAGCTAGCTAGCAGCATTCCAGCTAGCTATCGGCGACGGCCGTGCCTGGAGCGGAGCGAGCTCTGTACTCCGTATTCGACAGGAGCAGGAGTGCAGGACCATGTAGCGGCAGCAGCACAAGATGTACGTACACTCTGCCAGCAACGGCATGCAATGCATGGGATACTCTGTCTGAATAGGAGTAACTAGTAGTAGTAAAGTACTCCTAGCATATACGGTATGTATATATACCGGAGAGGAAAAGGAAATTCACGGTGAAAGGCAGAGTAAAACTAGAGCGAGCAAGAGCACGCACGGATCGAGCAGTATTCAGCAGGATGCATGAGCCAGCGTTGGTTTCTCCGGTAGTTCAGGTCGACAACCGTCGGCTCGTCAGCAAGCACCGTACTACGCGCTGGTAGGACTGTATGTCTGTATAGGTCGGAGCAGGGTACATAGAGTAGGGGGAGGGGTTGGGGGTTGGGTTTGATTTCATCCCCAAAACTTTAGATGTTTGTCATCGTCATGGAAATATTAAATATGTGTAATTATGAAACTAAACTCATAAATATGTAGACTAATTTTGT